TTTGGTAGCTTTCTTGATTGATGCGTATTGAATGTAGTTTTGTTATCTTCAACATTGACGCCAAGCTCATGGTCTTTCCTTTTATAGCTTTCCTTTCTCTGTAATTTGGCAGAAGAATGGTTTTCTGGTGCTGAGTGTTTTCTTTTTCTGCTGGTCTCTTCTCACAGCAGTACTGGCCTTCCACCTGGCTTTGTATCTTGTTTTAGAAATAGGCTTTTTCTCAGATTTTATTTTAAATGTTGCTATAAGCCTTGCTACAAATGGTTCTCATGTCTGTAGAAGACTGAACAAAAGAAATCTGCATATATTAAAACAGAAGTGGGGCTGGGGTTGTGGCTCAGTGGTAGCACGCTTGCCTAACACACATGAGGCACTGGGGATTCGATTCTCAGCACCACATAAAAATAAATAAAATAAAGGCCTTGTGTCCATCTACACTAAAAATATTAAAAAAAAAAAAAAAAACACATAGGAGGGGCTGGAGATGTGGCTCAAGTGGTAGCGCGCTCGCCTAGCATGCATGAGGCACTGGGTTCAATTCTCAGCACTACATAAAAACAAAATAAAGATATTGTGTTCACCTAAAACTAAAAAATAAATATATTTTTTTAAACGAGTGGTTTTTCTATGGACCTAGAAACAAAATTATTGCAAAAGATACTAGAGTCAATGCCAAGCCTCCCCATCCCCCATGCCTATAAAAATCTAAAGACTACGAAGACTAAAGACTTGCTAAAAGTTACAAAATAATGATGAGAATTTATCATTCTCATTATTTTTATGAAGACAACACATCCTAGAGAGCTATGATTTTAACACATAAAGCAAACTATTCATAAGGCAGGGAAATATACCAGACTACTTATCTTAGTTATCTTTGAGAAGGGAGAGTGTACTATGAATTTTTCCTTCTAATTTTCTAAGGTTTGTTGTTGTTTATTTGTTAGTTTGTTTACTGCAGTTTTTTAAAATTTTTATTTTTTTATAACTTTATTTTATTTGTTTTTTATGTGGTGCTGAGGATTGAACCCAGTGCCACTCACATGCAAGGCAAGTGCTCTACCACTGAGCCGCAACCCTAGCCCCTAATTTTCTGAGCTTTTAAATGTTTAGTTATGAGCATCATTTTTGTCAGTATCTAATCAAGGCTGTAAGCATTGAAGTAGATCTGCATTTGAGTCTGCCTCCACCCTTTAACTTAACTGTGGCTCTGTGACTTTTGAGAAAGCTTCTTAACCTCTGTGAATCAAAAGTTTCTTACTTTGGAAAACAGAAATAGTAATAATACTTTAAGGAATCAACTATGAAGGGGTTAGCTGTAAGATTTTGACATTTAATGTCTGGCTTACAAGGATGGTGGCTCTCTACTGGTGATCACAACTTTTTTGGGGGGTGGGGGGGTACCAGAGATTGAACTCATAGGCACTCAATCCCTTGAGCCACATCCCCAGCCCTATTTTGTATTTTATTTAGAGACAGGGTCTCACTGAGTTGCTTAGCACTTTGCCATTGCTGAGGCTGGCTTTGAACTCTTGATCCTCCTGCCTCAGCCTCCCCAGCTGCTGGGATTACAGGCATGAGCCACCGCACCCTGCAGTAATTACTACTTTATAATAGTACACTTGATGCTGATGTAGGGTGATAATTATTGAATGGGTTAAACATTGTTCTGCTTAAAGACTGGATGCTAAAGTAGGCAATTTTCCAACATACCTTCCAGACTATTTTTTCTTTCTGTTAATTCAAAAGAAGCACTGTGGTCATCAGTTCTTACTCGATTACAATGTTACTTACTTCAACAATAAAAAGAGGCCAGGTGGCGCATACCTGTAATCCCAGCGGCTGGAGGCTGAGGCAGGGGGATCACAGGCTCAAAGCCAGCTTCAGTATTTAGTGAGGCCCTAAACAATTTAGTGAGACCCTATCTCTAAATAAAATGTGAAAAGAAATGGGAATATGGCTCAGTGGTTAAATGCCCTTGGTTTCAATCCCTGGTACCAAAATAAATAAATAAAATAAAAAGAAATGAACTGAAAAAAAAAAAAAAAGTGTTACTGAGCTCTTGAGTACCTCAGTCAGTGCCTGCTATTTACTATAATTAAAGTAAAAATTCATAATACTCTTCTACATTTTATACTGGAGAACTTGCCAAACATATCTAGGGAACCATTGTTAAATTTTAAAATCCCTATTGCTACTCATTCTGGAGCTACATATATAGAATTGCCATGTTGAAGCAAATGCCCTTATGCTTTGAATTTGGAGTTCTTGTATGAAACCACTATGTCTTTGTGCCTAGTACCTTAATACAAATATCACTCTTGAATAGCATTCTCATTAGCCTTCCTTGTATTTCAGAGCCTCCAAAGTAAATTTCAGCTATACCACATATGTATTTATGCCCTAAAAAAATTCAACACTTTAATGTTAACATTTATATATACAGTTTCTTACAACGTAGTACCAATAATAAATGCCATGTTTTAAATTTTGATATACCTATTGCTAGCCTACTTATAGATGTCATAGTCACAGATTGGAAACCAAAGGCCATGTAACTTTTGATTTTACTGTTTGGGACAGACTGAATTGATTGACCCATTTTTAGGTATCCATTTTAGGTTCCCATCTTAGGTACTGAGTGACAGCCCTAGTAAGGTGTGTTTGAGTATTTTTCTATATTTGTAACATTGTTGTTTATGAGGATGTTGTGCTTTTCCACTTGACAACTGAGGAAGCCCGTCATCATCATTAGTTACTCATTCATTCAGCATGAGCACCTGTTTTATCTAGACACTGGAGATGCAAACATGAATAAAACATGATGCTTATTCTGGAAAATTTCATAGTTAATGGAGGAAGGGAGATATTTTAAAATATAATTACATTTCATACATATCTATATGATAAATATATGAACAAAGTATTATATACAGGAGGAAATAATGAATTTGGGATACATGGTCAGGTTTCCAAGAAGTAATGACATAAAAGCCCAGTCCTGAAGGTTGGATGGGAATTTGCCATTTAGAATGAGAGGACCCTGGCATGGTGTGCACACCTGTAATCCCAGCAGTTCAGGAGGCTAGGTAAGGCAGGAGAATCAAAAGTTAAAGCCAGCCTCAGCAATTTAGCAAGGCCCTAAGCAACCATCTCAAAATAAAAAAAAGGACTAGAGATGTGGCTCAGTGCCCTTGGATTCAACATCGGGTACCTAAAAAATAAAATATATAGAGAGAATCAGGGGACAGGGAGTACTGGATGGAAAATGGCCTTTGCAGACCCCAAAGGTGCAGGAGCATGCTAGGTGAGGGAGGAAAGGCTACATGAGGGGAATCCTGAGTTGAAATCAAGAGTTTGAATTTTATCCTTTTGGCAGTGGGTAATCATTGAAGATTTTAAAATTAGGGCTGATATAATCAGATTTGAGCCTGAAAACTCACAGTATTTTGGGCCAAGAGAAAGACAGGTGGCAAACATCAGTCAAAAGCTGTTTATTTTTTAAGCAAAATACAAGGGTTTACCGCCAACAGCAGCTGTGGAGATAAGAGTGACTAGCTTTGAGAGAATTTTCAAAGCGTAAACAATTGAGTTTTGTAATCAATATGTGGGACATGTGGGCAGTGGGGGTTGTAAGATCTGGCCTGGATGACTAAATAGATTAACTGAGATTAACAGCACTGGAAGAAAGGTAAAAAGAAAAGCAGAATTATTCATTATTTCGTTTTTGGAAATGGGACAAACGTTTTTATTTTGTACAAGATAAGTTGTCTTTTCAGGAACATTCTAATAAGCAAGTCTGTGTCTGAATCTTGGGGAAAAAGTTAACCATAGTAATATTTCTGAGTTCCTACTGTTTTTTTTTTTCCCTTAAAAGCTAAAGTTCTCTGAGCTTAACTGATTATGATCTCATGAAGGTGGCTATAGAACCAAATGTAAAATAAAGATATTGTGTCCACCTAAAACTAAAATTACTAAGCCCCTTACCAACTGAAATGAAATTTTGAAAGAAAAAAAAATCTCTTAGTTATTTCCCAGAATATCTTAAAATGAAACAAAACTGGTATGTTTATTTTTTATATAAAACATCTGTTTTCTGCACTGCTTACTGATCTTAGTTTTACTTGCCTAATAATGAACATATAAAGAGTATTCCAGATAATAGCTGAGGATCCCAAATTTCTTGCTTTGTTTCTGCAAAAACAAAATTTATAATTAAGTCCTAAGAAATATTTCTTACTTCGTATATGCTTGATTGATCTCCATTTTTTTGCCCTGTCAAATATGAAGAACACTAAAATGTTCAAGAATGGAGATGTGTGTCTACTTCTTTGGGGGAATTTAAAATAAGGTTTGTTTGGGTTTTTGTTTTGTTTTCATTTGGATGGTTGAGCTGTAGTCTTTTATTAAATCCAGGGGATAGACATTTCTTCAAAATCTGCCTCACCCCCAAATTTCAAGGGTCAGATTTCAGCATCTATTGGAATATGTGGGTGGTTATGAAGGGCTCAGATAGACTTGGGAAAAGGTAAATTGCTGCACATATCTGACATTTCTTTTTTCATGTATTTAAAAAATAAATTTGCACACCTTATTCACAAGAAATTCTAATTTTTTGTGTTTCTATCTAGAATTCTCTGTGTGGTTTCTTGGGTGGTGGTATTTTTCCTTTACTTTGATCTTGATTGCTGTGAAATGTAGTTGCCTGCTGTTTAAGGCAGCTGCAATAGGATGCACCCAGAAGTGGTTGTGTATCTATATTTAGAAAACCGTAGGGTTTGTAAAGCAGTTGCAAATTCCTTTGGGATAAAATGGTTTCTATAAATGTAACATTTTTAATGAAACTATTATTATCACCCATTAGAGAAGTAGAGAGCTAATATGTGTGGGCTTATGAACATGACAGAGGTACAATTTTTTTTAAGAGCTCACAGAGTACTTTAAATATTTAAAATTAATCATGTGAATCCTATTTTCATGATCTTCATCTTGAATTGCAGAGCTTTTACTCGAGTGTTTACCTTTGGTCCAACATTCCGAGCTGAGAATTCTCAGAGCCGGAGACACCTGGCAGAATTTTATATGGTAGAAGCAGAGATTTCTTTTGTTGAGAGTCTTCAAGATCTCATGCAGGTAGGTACACAGTTTTAAAATTTCAGATGTCTGTGACATTATATGGTTCTATGTATTTTTTATCCTGGATTTCTGTGAATTACAGATAATTATAAGATAAAGAAGATGGAGAGCTATTATTAATTTAATAAACATTTACTGACTGCCTTTACTGTAATAGCTGAACATATGAGAGTCAGGTTTAAGTTCCTATCTCTGCTCTTCCACTTGCTATGCTATGAAGTTACCTAACCTTCATAATCTTTAGCTTTCTCTACTGTAAAAGGAGAATAATTGTAGTTATTTTAAAAGGTGAAAGAATGTATATAATATAAAGCACCTAGCATGATATCTAGGAAATAAATATGCTTAGTAAATAGTAGCTCTTATTTGGTAGGAAAATAAATTTAAGACATCTGTAATATTTCAATAAACATCTATAAAGTTATTTTAGAAAAGATCTATAGGAACTGTTAGGGTTCATTTGAAGGGGCAAGGCACAAGGTTGGAGAGAGTCAGGAATCAGTTCATGAAAGACCTTGTATTTTAAAGCCATGCTAAGGAGTTTGAACTTTGTCCAAAAGTAAAGGAGAAAATGTTCTAGTTGGAAAAGGCATGATCAGAGTTATATTTTATATAAATCTCTCTAAGCCAGATGCAGTGGCACACACATGTAATCCTAGCAGCTCAGGAGGCTGAGGCAGTAGGGTCACAAGTTTAAGGCCAGCCTCAGAAACTTAGTGAGACCCTGTCTCAAAAATCAAAAATAAAAAGGGCACTGAGTGTGATAACGCAAGCCTGTAATCCCAGCAACTCAGGAGGCTGAGGCAGAAGGATCGCAAGTTTGAGGCCAGCCTTAGCACTTCAGTGAAGCCCTAAGCAACTTAGTGAGACTCTGTCTCAAAATAAAAAATAAAATGGGCTGGGGATGTAACTCAGTGGTATAGTACCCCTGGGTTTAATTCCTAGTACCAAAACAAACAAACAAATTGATTTTTAATCTAGTTTTTTAAGCATTGGTGATTAATTCAGAAATATCGTGAAGCAGAAAGCACAGAGTCATTTTATTTGGAGCATTTTCCTGCACTACATTTGCCGGTATTGTTTCAGATATATTCCAACGTAAGTCTAGGACTCATAAATAAGAATGGTCAACCCCAGAAAGATGGACAGTTCAGCAGCTTTAGATGGGATGGACATGAGAGGAGGTAGATTCAGTGCCATTGTTCCCTGAGGGTTGTATAACAGCTACCTAAAACAGTCCTAATTTATACCCACTGTATTAATTTACCAGTTTTCTGTTTTATGGATCTTGCTGTTATGCTTGTCTTATATATTTTTTTTAATATTTATTTTTTAGTTTTAGGTGGACACAATATCTTTATTTTACATTTATGTGGTGCTGAGAATTGAACTCAGTGACTCATGCATGCTAGCCGAGTGCTCTGCAACTGAGCCCCAGCCCCTTGTCTTATATTCTTTTAAATTTATTTCTAAATTTACATACATAAAAATTCATGTTTTGAGGAACACTGTACACTTCTCTAGTTAGAGAAGTTCAATCAAGATAACAAAACAAAAAATTTTTTCAATACTGGGGATTGAACTCAGGGGCACTGTACCACTTAATTACATCCTCAGAAACACACACACATACCCCTTTTTTTCTTTATTTTTGAGACAGGGTCTCACTAAGTTGCTGAGGCTGGCCTTAAACTTGTGATCCTCCTGCCTTAGCCTCCCCAGTAGCTGAGAGTACAGATATATGCCAAACAATTTGGTCATTACAAAATGACTCCCTCTTGCTGTCATTTTATATTCCAACCCTCCTCCTTCTGGCAACCACTGATCTGTTGTTCCTCTAAATAATCTTGCCCTTCCAAAATGTCATATAAAAGGAATAATTACAGATTTTTTTACTTTGTCTTCTGTCACATAACATAATTATATGAGATTCATCCATGTTTATCAGTTGTTTGCTTCTTTTTCCTGCTAGGTATTCATAGTACAGATGCATCTCAGCTCATTTATCCTTTCACCAGTTGGAGAACATTTGATTCAGTTCTAGTTTTTTAAAATAATGAACACAGTTGCTGTAAACATTCATATGCAAGTTTTGTATAAATATAAAGTTTTCATACTTCTCAGATAAGTTCCAGGGGTGAGATTGCTAGAAAAGTGTTTAATTTTCATAGGAAACCAATTTATTTTCCAAAATGACTGAACCATTTTGCATTCTCACTTGCAGTACACAAAAGTTTTGCATTTTTACTTCCTCACCAGCATTTAATTTTTTCAGGTGTGTGTGTGTGTGCGCGCGCACGTGTGTTAAGACATTCTTATAGCAATGTGTAAGTATCTCATTGTGGTTTTACTTTGCATTTTCCTCATGCTCGTTGATGTTGAGCATCTTTTCATATGCTTATTAGCCGTCAGTTTATAGTCTTTGGTGAAGTGTTTGTTCAAAATGTTTTATTGGATTTTTGTTTTCTTATTGGATTTTGAAAATTCTTTATTCCAAATAAAAGTCCTTTTCAGATATATCTGATTTGCAGATATTTTCGCCCAACTGGTGGCTTGTCTTTGCATTTTTTTAACAGTGTCATATATAGAGAAAAAGGCTTTAATTTTTATGAATACTAATTTACCAGTTCTCTTGCTGTTAACGGCATTAAGAATGGTTTGAAGCCAGGTGCAGGGATGTGTGCCTATAATCCCAGCCACTCAGGAGGCTGAAGTGGAGAATTGTGAATTGGAAGCCAACCTGGAAGAAAAGAAAAAAAACTCAAGGTCACACAAGATTCTCATGATTTCTTCTGAAAGTGGTATCATCCACATTGTTGTATGCATCAGTAGTTCATTTCTTTTCATTGCTGAGTAGTATAATATGTATGTTTTTACCACAGTTTGCTTAATTTATATATTTATATATTATATATTTATATATATATAATTTTCAGTTTGGGGATATTATAATAAAACACCTGTGTACAGTTCATGTACATTTATGTATAGTTTTTGTGTGTGCATAAATACAAGTCTTTATGTCTTTGCAATAAATTTGCAAGAGTGCAATTGTTAGGTCATATGTTTAATTTCATAAGAAATTATGTTATTTTCAGCAATTTATTGTACCAGCAATGTATGAATGTTCTAGTTTTTCTACATCCTTACCAGCATTAATGTGCTCACTATTCTTTTCTAGGTATCTATTAGTACCACATTGTGTTTTTGATTTGCATTTTCCTACTGGCTGATGATACTGAACATCTTTTCATATACTTATTTGCCATCTATAAATCCTCTTCAGTGAAACGACTATTCATGTCTTTTATGGACTGTTTTGTTTTCACTGTTGAGTTTTGAGGGTTCTTTATATATTGTAGGTACTAGTTCTTTGTTGGATGTGTGGCTTCCAGATATGTTCTCCTAGTAAGTAACTTGCCTTTTCATTCTTTTAATTTTGGTGAGCTCTTTATCTTTGTTTTTTAACAGGTGGGTCATTGTATGTCTAGGTATGATTTTCTTTGAGTTTATCCTATTTATAATTTAGTGAACTCCTTGAATATGTCTTTAGCCATTTGGGAAGAATTTTCAGCCATTACTTCCTCACATGTTTTCTGTGTCTGTTTTCATCTTCTGATACACCAATAACACACATGTGAGGCCTTTGGATATTGTCCCGCAATTCTTCAGTTCTCTGTTCGTTATTTAATCCATCATTTTTCTTTCCATAATTCAGACTGGGGCATTCAACTAATCTGTCTTCAAATGCACTAATTCTTTCCTTTGTTGTCTTCTTTCTGCTACTTTGCACCTTCAGTGAAATTTTTATTTCAGATGCATATTTTCTCATTTCTTTTTTATCTCCTGAGAAGTCCTATCTCTGTTCATCTAAAGAATGTTTGTTTACCTTTATTTTGTGGAAGGTGGTTATTATACCTGCGTTAAGATCTTCATCAAATATTTTCCAAAATCTGGGTCTTCTGTGTGCTTACATCAGTGGATTGTCTTTTCCTCTTAGAATTCATCGAACTTCTCTGGTTCTTTTTCTGTCTGGTAATTTTAGACTCTATCCTAGATATTTTGAATGTCATATTCTGGGGCTCTGGTCCTGCTAAAATCCTGTGGAAGTGATATCATTTTGTAGTGTTGTTTTATCAGTCATTAAACCTAGGATCAGTAACCAATAAGATCTGTAAGTTCTGTCTCACTCTCTGTTGGCATTGGTTTCTATGTCAGTTTTCAAAGTCTTTGCTATGCTATTTGAGTCTGTCTATTGCATGTGCCACTCAGCAGTTACTCTGGAAATTGCACAGTGCTTTATATACTGTAGTTCCTTGTTGGAAGGCTACCCTGTGCTTCTTTGGGTTGGTTGCACATGTACCATGCTTCAGGGTGAACCCTGGCTTTATGGAAGTTCATACACAAAATTAGGGGTCACCTTTTCCTGCTGTTCAGAATTTCCTTCATACTTTCTGGCTTCTTGAGACCCCCTAGCTCTGGTTCCTCTAGCCAGAAAGACAGATTTCTTTCACATTTTTATCCTTCACCATGTTATTTCCAGGTGACTGTGGTCATCCATAATTAATTAGTTAGAAGTAGCAAGAGTAAAGGTGCTTAAATTAATGGAGATTCCCACATACACATTCTCTAAACAGCAGGGTCCTCCTCTCTCAGGTCCTATGATTAGAGAAGTGGGTCTTTGGTATTCCACAACTGGGGCTGCCTTCAAGATAGAACCAGAATTGAAAACAAAGAAGAGTAGAATACCAACGTAAGATTTCCCTGTAAACAGTAAAACACGGGGACCTTTTCCCAGTTCTGTGGGAAGTAGCAACCTTCTCTCAAAAGTTTTGCTTCCCATGCCTGCAGACAGTTCAGTATTTCACTCCCAAATGAAAGCCAGAAGAAGGAAGAGTGGAATTGGGAAAAATCACCTTCACTACAGATTATTATTTAAGTCAGCCCATCACAAGGCTATCTATCACTGTTTACTTTTTTGAATCCTGAGGCAGTTG